TTCAAGCAAAGACCCAAAGTCAGAAGAGAGCTGGTCGTCCAGTGAGCTGAAGGGGAGCAATGTAGCTAGTGATGGGGAAAACATGAAAGAACGTTAAAGAAGATGGACAAATCATATAAGACCTTAAGTCACTGTAAAGACTTTGGCTGAGTGAAATAGGGAGTCACTGTACAGAGAAAAGACATCTGACTTGCATTTTAACAATCACTCTGGCATCCCTGTTGAGGAAAAAAAAAAAAAAATAGAAGGACAAGGGCAGGAACAGGGAGCCTATTAACAGTGATTGCAGAAATCCAGGCAGAGAAAGAATGGTGGCTTGTACCAAGACAGAAGCACTGGAGGCGAGGAGAAATCTTTGGAATTTGGATATATTTTGAGATTAGGGGTGGCATAATTTCCTTATACTCTGGATATGGAATGTGATTCCAAGACTTTTGGCATGATCAACTGAAAGGATGAAAATTCTATTAACCAAGGTGGAGGGTTTGCATTTGGAGCTGTTTTGGGGAAGATGAGGATATGTTTTCACTTGCTCTTAGCCCAAAAGGCCGAGAAGTGATGTTAAGTTTTCAATATCCAATTAGAGATACTGAACAGGCAATAGGATATACAAGTCTGAAGTCTAGGAAAGAGGTCAGGCAGCAGTATCAGCCTGTAGATAATATTTAAAATCATGGGGCTCTATGATGCACCAAGGAAATAAGAGAAGAGGACCAAAAGCAGCCATAGACATGCCATATCTGTTTCCTTTGTTCTCCTTCATCTCCTCAGTCAGTCACACTACTAGCACCATAATTTCTTGTCAGAAGTCTAGAAGTCTTCCTTGATTCTTTATAAAATCCTTTCTACATCCTGACCCATCCACTTCATCTTCATTCCATCCAACCTGGTCTAAGCCATCATTCTCTTCTAATTCCTCTACCTGCTTCCCTTTTTGCTACCTCCCACAGTCATTTTTACCCAGTAATCAGAATGCTCTTTTTGAAAGGCAGTTCAAATCAAATTACACCTTTGCTCAAAATTTGCCAAAGATCTGTACAGCAAGGGAAGCAGCTGCTTGAAAAGGCAAAAGTTGCAAACCATATATCTGAAAAGGGGTGACCATTTAGAATCTATAAAAAACTCCTACAACTCAAAAGAAGAAGTTGAGTTGATAAATGGGCAAAGAATTTGAATAGGTATTTCTTCAAAAAAGACATACAAATGGCCAAAAAGTATTTGTAAAGATGATCAGTATCATGAATCATTAGAGAAATGCAAGCCAAAATCACAATGACATATCTTACAACCCTCAGGATGGCCACTTTTTGAAAAAAGAAAAGCAATGTTGATGAGGTGAATTTGAAGCCCTTTGCTTGGTTGGTGGGAATATAAAGTGGTGTAGCCATTATGAAAAACTTTTTGAGCTAATGATGAAATTACCAATGATTCGGCAATCCTGCTTTGGGATATATATAGAAGAATTGAAAACAGGTTCTTGAAAATATGTTTGCTGCAAATGAAAAAATGTTTACTGTAGCATTATTCACAATTGCAAAAAAACAACTAAATGTTCATTGACGAATGAATGGATGAAACAAATGTGAGACACACACACACACACACACACACACACACACATATACAATGGACTTATTATTCAACCCCCAAAAGGGCATCACATCTGATAAAGGACTGTTATCTAACTACATAAAGAACTCTTAAGACTCAACAATAAGGGCCTCTCTAGTGACCTAGGGGTTAAGTCTCAGTGCTATCATTGTGATGGCCCACAGCAATGGCCTGTGTTTGATTCCCAGCCAGGGAGCTAACCCACATATGGCACAGCATTATCTCCTGTCTTGCCTGCTGCTTCCCTTAGCTGCTCTGCTCCATTCTGTCTCTGGAGAATCCTCTCATCCCCCACATCTCTGGTGGCCTATACCCCAGTTTTTCTATGCAAAAATAAAAAATCTTTTAAAAGAAGATTCAACAATAAGAAAACAACAACCCAATTTAAAAAATAGGCCAACACCGAAACAGACACTTCACTAAAGAAGATACACAGATGACAGACATGAAAAGATGCTCTGTCATGTGTCATCAGAGAAGTTAGAATTAAATGAGTTGTCACTACACACCTATACCAGTGGCCTAAATCTGGAACACTGGCAATAGCAAATGTTGGTGAGGATGTGGAACAACTCTCCTTTTTATAATCCTTGGTGGGAATGCAAAATGGTACAGCTACTTTGGAAGAGAGTCTTGGTTTCTTTAAAAACTGAACATATTCTTACCATGCAGTCAAACAATTTATGCTTCTTGGTATTTACCCAAAGTAGTTAAAAGTGGGTGTGAACCAAATTTTGCACCGAGATGTTTATAGCAACTTTATTCATAGTTGCCAAAACTTGAAAGCAACCAAATGTCCTTCAGTAGGTGAATGGATAAATACAGTGTGGTATGTCCAGATAATAGCACATTATTCAGTACTAAAAAGAAATGAGAGGCTGCCATGGTGGTGTAGGGGTTAAGTCTACTGCTATCATGCTATCCCCCGCTACTGTTGAGGCCTGGATTTGATCCCCCACCAGGGAGCTGACCTCTCCTGGCTCACCTGCTGCTCCCCTCAGCAGTATATTTCAGTAGATCTGCCTGTTCTGTTCCCTACTCTGTCTCTGGTGAATCATCTCACCACTGCCCTCCACACAAACACACACTCACCTCTGGCCTACACCCCAGTTCTTGTATGCGTAAATAAATAAAAATAAATCTTTAAAGAAAAGGAATGAGCTATCAAGTCATGAAAAGACTGGAAAGAACCAACAATACATATTATAAGTAAAATAAACCAATCTGAAAAGGGTACATACTATATGATTCCAACTATATGACATTCTGGAGATAGGCAAAACCATATGGAGATAGTAAAAAGGTAAATGATTGCCATGGGTTAGAGAGGAGGAAGAAGTAAACAGAAGGAGGACAGAGGATTTTCAGGGCAGTAAAACTACTCTGTATGATACTGTAATGATGGAAACATGTTATTACACATTTGTGGAAACCCATAGAATGTACCACACCAAGAGTGAACCCTAATGTAAATTACTGAGTTTGAGTGGGAATGTGTCAGTGTAGGTTCATCAGTTGTAATTCTAGTGGGGTAAATGTTGATAATGTGGGAAGCTATGTGTGTATAGGGGCAGGGGTACATAGAAAAGTCTCTGTACCTTTGGTTCCTTTAATTTTGCTATGAAATTAAAATTGCCCTAAAAATAAAGTCTATTAAAAAAATCAAGTCACAGGAATGATAATAGGCTCTCTATGAAATGAGTGTGTGTGGGCTTATTTGGGGGTAGAAGTGGAAAAGGTGGTTAATGATGGATGCTTGTTCCTCTTTCTTTCTTCTTCCATTAAACATGTTTGAAAGGTTGTCTTTTATTCCTCCCTCCCCTGATTTGTGTAGTTGTTTCACTCTAGATCTGTAGTTTTTCTTATTTCTCGTGTCATCCCCTTGACAAACGAGAGTATATTTAGAATAGTAGCCACTTAATTCTTTAACATGAATATCCTTCACAACTTTAAAATCATGTATATACCCTTCATGCTCATTCTGACAAAAATCTTAACCTTTCTGTGCCTCACTTTACGTATCTGTAAAATGGGTAACTAGTAATACCTACCTCATAAGTTGTTATAAAGAAGAAATGTTAAGGGCCTCCCCGGTGGCACAGCAGTTGAGCTCTGGGCTGCGAAGCTGCCTGCAGCCTCTGCAGTGCCGGTTCAATCCCTGGCTGCCGGGTGAGGGTCCCACATGGCGCGACAGACCTCTCCTGTCGCCTGCTGCTCCCCTCAGCAGTGTACTTTGGTCCTTCTGTCTGTTCTGTTCTCTGCTCTGGCTCTGGTGAATTCTCTCACCCTCCCATGCTTTTGACTGTACCCAGTGCTTGTATGAGTAAATAAATAAATAAATCTTAAAAAAAAGGTATTAAAAAAAAAGAATAAATGTTAATACACATTTACAATAAAAATCATGGAACATATCTGGCATGTAGTAAACACTCAAATGTAGAGCTGTTATTATTGCTGCTGTTACTAACGGGTATGTTTTTTCTCTTCATGTTTATCCTATCAACCAAATTTATTTCCTTTATGTATATTCCTTTTTTATGTATATTCATTCCTTTAATCTTCTTTGGCTCCTTTATAATTCAAAAAACTTCTTCACTGGAAGGGATCATGCTCAGCGAAATAAGCCAAAAAGAAAAAGAAAAATACCGGATGGTCTCACTCATAGCAGGAATCTAGAAAACTTAAATAAGGGACCAGGAAAATGAATATAAGAAAGTGAAAATCAAAATCAACAAAAAACTATGAACCAGAGACACTTTTTGGGGGGTGGGGGGCGGGAGGGGAAGGATTGGGGTCAGAATGGGGCGTTTGCAATTGTATGGGGGAATATAAAAATAAAATTTAATATTTAAAAAAAAAAAAAAAAGAAGATGTGGTACATATATACCATGGAATATTACTCAGCATTCAAAAAAGATAAACACATGCAATTTGCAGCAACATGGATGGAGCTAGAAGGGATCATGCTCAGTGAAATAAGTCAGAAAGAAAAAGAAAAATACTGGATGGTTTCACTCATAGCAGGAATTTAGAAAACCTAAATAAGAGACCAGGAAAAAGACTAATCAATACAAAGTAAAAATCAAAATTAACAAGCAACTATAAACCAGAGACACACTGGGGGTGGGGGGGAGGAGAGGGGAAAGGAAGAACTAGAGTCAAAATGTGGGGTGCAATTGTATGGGGAATATAACCAAAACGAAAATGCATACATTGTGCAAAGATGAAAAAAATGTAAGAATTATATAAAATAAAATATTGAAATAAAAAAAAAACAATTTAATGAAAATAAAATTTATACATGCAGAGAGGCTGATACAGATTTTTTGATCTTTTTTTTTTAAGAGTGAAATTCTGAGAGTAAACTTATTTTTTACATCTTATTACAGGCGGTATGCAAGATTACAATTATGTGTGGGCCAACTGTTTTGAAATCACACTAGAACTATCGTGTTGCAAGTACCCACCTGCTTCACAGCTTAAACAAGAATGGGAGAATAATCGTGAGTCTCTGATCACATTGATTGAAAAGGTAAAGTAGCTAACTGGAAAGTTGGGGTATGGAAATGATGGATTAAATGATTTGGTTGTGTATCAGTAATAGTCTATAGTAGATACCCTTTAACCTTGTTTTTTAGAAATTCTAGCATCAGTGCAGGGAGGTTATGTTCTTTTGCATTCCATATTGATTGTCTCTGAACTGTCTACTTTGATTCTGTTTTTTTCAGGTTCACATTGGAGTTGAAGGATTTGTTAAAGATTCAGTAACAGGATCTGGCTTAGAGAATGCAACCATCTCAGTGGCTGGTATTAATCATAATATCACAACAGGCAGATTTGGTGATTTTCACAGATTACTTATTCCTGGAACTTATAACATTACAGCAGTTTTAACTGGGTAAGAATTTAAATTAGACTCTTAGAATATCAGATCTTCTTATGTCTTAGAACTATAGTCTAGGAAATTTTATTTACTATACCTGGCTTTTATTTTCCCTTGTTTTTTGATTTTTTCCTATTTTATAATGAAAAATATTTTTGTGGTTTTTATGTCGTATAGTCTAAGCACAACTAGGTAAAATTGTAAAATTGGGAGGAAAGAGTATTAAAATCTTGAAAAGATGATCAAACTGTGTAAACCATTGCCTCAAAGCTAACTGAATACCAGAGTAGAAGCTCTCTAAAAGACATTTTGAAGAGCTGTCTTATCAGCTTTCTAATTTATTAAACAAGTAGTCTCCTACCTCCCCTGGAAATCTTTCTGAATGCTCACTTTGATAATGATTTACTTGATAACCTTTAATTTTGAACATCCCTATTTGGGAAAGTAATTTGAATGCCAGTTTAATAATGCACTGCAAACAATTGGATAATTTATCCCTTCTTTGAGTATTGTAGCAAAATGACCTCCCTCTTTTATCATATTCTCTTCCTTTGAGTGTAATTTTTGGTAAATATTCTAATGTGTAGACCTGAGAAAATGGTAATAGAAATAACTCTCTGTAGACAAATTATTCATGAGATGATGTGCCTGAAAGTCTTGTATTTACATATCTGTCTTTATTTCATTTGAACTTTGATAGATCACCAAGTACAAGAGAATGAAAAGGTTTTTGTACTGTTATAATGTTAAAGCATTGTGTTTTAATTTAACTCTAAGTTGCTACTTTTTCAATTTTTTTTCTCCCTAGGTATATACCGCTAACTGTTAATAATATAATAGTGAAAGAAGGGCCAGCCACAAAGCTCAACTTTTCCCTTCGGCCAACTGTCACTCCGGTAATCCTTGACACAACTGAGGTTGTAGCAACTGCTAGCACAGTTGCTATACTTAATAGTCCATCTGAAACAAAATCCTCCCCCCAGCCAATTCAACCAAAGGACTTTCATCACCACCATTTCCCTGATATGGAAATCTTCTTGAGAAGATTTGCTAATGAATATCCTAACATCACCCGGCTTTATTCATTGGGAAAATCAGTAGAGTCAAGAGAACTTTATGTAATGGAGATATCTGATAATCCAGGTGTCCATGAACCAGGTAATTGGTGTGGTCTTACAGATAATTTCAATCAGACCTCACAAGAGTTGTATATTACTATGCTTCATCAAGAAAGGTCACTAATAGTGTGTATAACTGGAACAAAGAAAATGTAACCAATCTTTTGCCAGAAAAGAAGACAATTAATTAGATTATGTTAGACAGTGCTTAATATGCTGCACAGACTGGATTCTTTTTACTAATGGTATTTTCATATTGTGTATATGTGTAACACATACACATATGTATTAGTAAGGAAGCTACTTTCTTAGATTTTTTTTTCTGCTGCTTTTGCCAATTTAATTTTTTTAAATTTTTAGTTTAGGGTTTTAACATATGTTGGGATGAAAACAGAGTCCATGATAACTGAAAAGGAAAAAAGGTCTTTCATGTAATTATTCTGTTTGTAGGTGAACCAGAATTTAAGTACATTGGAAATATGCATGGAAATGAAGTGGTTGGACGAGAAGTGCTATTGAACCTTATTGAATACCTTTGTAAGAACTTTGGAACAGACCCTGAAGTAACAGATTTGGTTCGTAACACTAGAATTCACCTCATGCCATCCATGAATCCTGATGGATATGAAAAGGCCCAGGAAGGTAAATCATAGCTCACTACTTGTGCTTAAACTTTTTGATTATCAGATGTTCTAATGATTTGTGAGTAGAAGATAATTTTAGCTGGTTGTTTCCATGGGATTTTGTCCTGTTTTCCTTGTCATTCCTAGTTAGAGTTTAGCTCTTTTTTTTTTTTTTTAAGATTTATTTTTATTTATTTATTTATACAAGTACTGGGTACTGTCAGAAGCATGGGAGGATGAGAGAATTCATCAGAGTCAGAGCGGAGAGCAGAGCAGGCAGAATGACAAAGTACACTGCTGAGGGGAGCAGCGGGCGGCAGGTGAGGTCTGAGCGCCATGTGGGACCCTCACCCGGGGATCGAACCGGTGCTGCAGAGGCTGCGGGCAGCTTTGCAACCCAGCACTCAACTGTTGCGCCACCGGGGAGGCCTGGGTTTAGCTCTTATATTATTGTAAGATAGGTTAGTTCATTCAATAATTTATGTGAAAAAGTTTATATTTAATGGAGTTCTCTTCACTAGTGACTCTTACTAACTAAAAATAATAGAAGATATTTACAAATTATTCTATTTTGACAGTAATTCTTATTAAATTATTGTATTAGGAACCTTAACTCATAAGTGAAAAATTAAACCAAATATCTTTTGAAGACAGTCATGGTTTTTACTCCCAATTTATTCTCCATGCATGCCCATCTTTCCTGGGGCAACATGGTAAGGGCAGTGCTCTCACTAGGAGAATGAATGTCTATATCTTCCTACCTGTTGATTCCCTCCAGAAAATGATACCAGTAAGTAGAATAAGTACCATAATATGACTATACAGCCACATGATTTATTACTCACACACTGATCTCGGAGAAAATCAACCAGTGACTGACTGGGTTAATCCTTACAAATATAGTTCAAGCCCTTTCCCTAAGGACCTCATTCTTTGTCAGTCTCACAAATCCCTCAGACATTCCTCTAGACCTTTCTGAAAGGTGAAACTACTAACCACTAGTGAGCCTTCTACTACAGTTTTCTTTCATTCACTTGCAATATTTTTTTCACTATAATGACAATAATAGGGTTTCTACCCCATATTTAAATGAAATAAGCTTAAGTTGAACCCTTTCTCTTCCATCAGAGCAGACTTCCAACTTATATTCTTTTTTTTAAAGATTTATTTATTTATGTACGCAAGTACTGGGGTACAGGCCTGAGATGTGGGGGGTGAGAGGATTCACCGGAGACAGAGTGGGGAACAGAACTGGCAGATTGACTGAAGTACACTGCTGAGGGGAGGAGCAGGCTAGTCAGGAGAGGTCTGCTGCGCCATGTGGGTAGCTCCCTTGCCGGGTATCGAACTCATGATGCAGTGCTGCAGATAGCTTCATAGGTTGTATCTTAACCTCTTGTGCCACCAGGGAGGCCCCAACTTATATTGTTGACTAACTTTACCTTTTTGTGATCACTTTAGTGAAGCACACCACAGTTTTCTCCTTTTCATTCAGTCTGTTTCTTTATGATGTCTTAGTGAACCGTATACTAGCACAATAGAGTACCCCTCTCATTAATAATGTCTGTTCAACATTGTGATTGTGTCAGTAATGTGGATTTTTATTTTTTTTTTAAAGATTTATTTATTTATTTATTTATACAAGCACTGGGTACAGTCAGAAGCGCGGGAGGGTGAGAGAATTCACCAGAGCCAGAGCAGGGAGCAGAGCAGGCAGAAGGACCGAAGTACACTGCTGAGGGGAGCAGCGGGCGGCAGGAGAGGTCTGCGTGCCATGTGGGACCCTCCTCCGGTGGCCCGGGAGCAGCCGGGGATCAAACCAGTGCTGCAGAGGCTGCGGGCAGCTTCGCAACCCAGTGCTCAACCGCTGCGCCACCGGGGAGGCCCAGTAATGTGGATTATTAATAATTAAAAATACTTAAATATAATTTGTATGATTGGCTTTTTCCCCTCAAAGAATGGCCAGAGGGCCAAAACAGAGAGATAATGATTTTACCTCTCTGTTCAAAAGATCTGAAAAAGATACATACACATATAATACACATGTAATACATGTCTATTATGTATATATAGACACACAGTGTCTGTATATGTATATATAGACACACAGTGTACAGTATACAGTGTAAAAAGATGCATTTTTTAAACATAGTGTGATTGGTTATAGTGTACATTAATAAGTTCACATTGACCTTTGAGATAAGATATTTGAAGTAGCATGTGTTGGATTAAAATATAAATGAAACATGGCTTAAATTAGAATCCTTTATTATACAGGAGATTCATTAAGTGTAATTGGCAGAAACAACAGCAACAACTTTGACCTGAACCGAAATTTCCCAGACCAGTTTGTTCAGATCACAGATCCTACCCAACCAGAAACTATTGCTGTAATGAGCTGGATGAAATCCTTTCCATTCGTACTGTCAGCAAACCTGCATGGAGGTAATAGCAACTTGATATTCTACTAATTAATTCTTGTTGAGAGCATTTGAAAATCCTGGTAGAATTTTATCTGTTTATAATCTTAAGCTTTCTTGAAAGATGGGTATCCTGTTATGCTGTATGGTAAACAATAATAAAGACCTTTTCTCATTACTTTTTAAGCCAGTTTCCTGGCTGTTTTTCCTTCTCCTCATTCTCTTTAAAGTTTAATAAATCTTTTTAGTATGTGTAGATTTTATCATCTTTTATCTGCTATATATTTAACTGCAACAAAATATCTTCATTTTCTTGTACTGTCTGAGCTTGAATAGCTCCTATAATTCCGTGGGAATGGAGCAGTTAAATAGAATGAGAGATTAAAATTAAAAATCATCAGTATCCAACTAGGGTTGTATGAATAAGAGTGAGTGAAGGTGTCAGTACCCAAGAAAGCTGAAAACATGTCCACATATAAACTTGTCCTGAATGTTCATAATAATACTATAATAAACAAAATGTAGAAATAACTCAAGTAACATCAACTAATAGATGGATAAATAAAGTATGATATAACAATGTAATAGAATATGTTGTCCATAAAAAGGAATGAAGTACTGATGCTTATGTTTATGAAACACATGCATATGAAACATAAACATATGCATGCGTTTCTTAAACATAGAGAAATCTTGAACACATTAAGGTGATAGAAGCTGACTACAAGAGATCATTCATGGTGTGAGTATTTTTTGTGAAATGTCCAGAAAAGGCAAATCATTAGAGATAGAAAGTAGATCAGTGATTGTCTCAGGCTGGAGTGGGGAGCAGTGGGAAAGAATGGAATGATAGCTAGTGGGGAAGTAACTTAATGTCAATATTTGTTAGCATGTCCAGAAGAAGTATTGCAGTTGATATGTGATGGCACGACTGGGAGGGAAATCAGACATGGGGGACTGCTATGTCCAGCATGCAGTAAATCTTTATTGTCTTAGTGCTCATTATATACTATTTTAATTGCAGCAGGTGTAACATCAAAGCATACCATATAATGATAACATGTATGAATGATTAGTCTATTTTCTTACTATTATCTATTTACTTCAGACAGTAGGGTACCAGGTGGTTAGTTCTCACACACATAATCTTATCATCCCCTAGCCAGAGCCTGGGAAGCTCACTCATTATTTTTGTTATTCTCAAACTGTGGAGATGTACGCAGGTCACTTCCAGGCTCTCAACACCAAGTCCTGTCACTCAGAGGTTTTCCTCTGAGACACATGTGTTTTCACATGCCTTAAAGATTTGGGTCAAGGCCCTTCTGCTCATTGCTCAGGGTCTCTCCATTTTGTTATTCTCAGACTGTGGAGTTGTAGAAGCCTGACTCCATGCAGGTCACTTTCCAGGCTCTCAACACCAAGTCCTGTCACTCAGAGGTTTTCCTCCGAGACACATGTGTTTTCACATGCCTTAGGGACTCGGGTCAAGGCCCTTCTGCTCACTATGCGGGGTGGCCGCCTCCAACAGTCTATGAATATGGTGAATTACTTATTTTCACATGTTGAAAGGGAAAGCAGCCATAGATGATATGTAAAAGAGTGGAAATGGCTGTGTGTCAATAAAACTTTAATTACAAAAAACAGGTGATAGGCTAGAAATATTTCACCTTAGAGATACAGTCTGTCAACCTTAGACTACTTTATTAGGTTTACAACTGAAGTATTTGTCATATGAAATAAACTAGCATGCTTGTTTACATTTATTGTGTTTAGTTTACTATGTTCCAGTATGTTTAAAAGATGAAAATACACTACCTGAATCTATAGTCTAATGTGGAAAGACAGGCCATGTGTTCAAAAGTGAGGTGAGAAATAGAGGGAAGAAATTTCAAAGTGCATACAATGTAAAATATCTGGTACAATTTGAATGGATAGGCACAATTAGGATTTAAAGGGAAATCTTCTAAACTTGTAGCTTCTGGGGGAGAAAAAAGGCAAAAAGAAATGAAGGAGGACCCTTTGGCAATTAGTTAGTAAGGGGGAAGAAAAGAAAAGAGGGGGAAATGTGGGGCTGTCCAGGATAGAAAAGAGAACCATAAAATTAGAGGACTCACAGCATCACCACCAAGCTGAAAGCAAACAAACAATCCACGCTTAACTACCTGACCTGCTAAACTCACAAAAAAGGCACCATGTGCCCAAAAGAAATGAAAATATATGTCCACCCAAACACTTGTACATGAATGTTCATATAACTCCATTTGATTAGTTTCTAACGTGAGCATCTTTTTTCTGAGTGTAGGTCAAGATTGCTTTGTTATCTATATATAAGTCATGTAAACTTTTTGATTCCATGTCTGGAATGAGGAGGATGGGTTAATTGGGTTTCAGGGATCCCTTCTTTTTTTAAAATCCCACTACCTTATAAATGTCTGAATTTTATTGAGTAGTATCAAATTTTGCTCAATTTTTCTGATTTTAAATAATGTAAAATATGAAATCATTTAATACTTCTAGTTTCAGTGTTGGCTTATATATTACACATATAAATTCAGTTAAATTCCCAAGACCTTTCCATTTAAGGAACTTCTAGGTGTTAAGCACTTGCTTCCCTTCTCACTTATCTACTTTGGTTTCGAAGTATGAAGAAATTAGCAACCTTTACATTTCGCCTGAGGATATTAGTCTTAGGAAATTGCATTGGTTTCTTGTCTCTGGCAATATCGTGAAATGCTTACTTTAATGATCCATCTTGAAACAGACAACATGATACATTTTCTTCCTTTCCCTTGTAGGTTCTTTGGTGGTTAACTACCCTTTTGATGATGATGAACAAGGGCTTGCCACATACAGTAAATCACCAGATGATGCTGTGTTTCAACAAATAGCACTTTCTTATTCCAAGGTATGCTTGTGCTTAAGCATAAAATGCTATAGAAGTAATTTTTTCATTTAAAATATACCTTAAAACAAAGTCCTTCAAGACTCAGGTAAAGTGATTTCTTCTTGGTTAGGCCTTTCATGATTCATTTTCGGCAGCTATATACTGCTTTTGCTCCTCTATTGTCCATAACAGTGGAAGAATGGAAATAACCCAAATGTCCATTAATTGATGAGTAGATAAAAAAATATGAATTTCATTCAGTCATAAAAAGGAATGCAGTACTGATACAGACTACAACTTGAATGATCCTTGAAAACATGCCAAATAAGTCTCAGTCTCAAGCAACCATGTATTATATGATTCCATCTATATAAAGTATCCATAACAGGCAAATTCACAGAGACAAAATAGATTGGTGGTTGCCTAAGACTTGGAATCAAGGAGAGGCAGGAAAAAGGTAGGAGAGAAAAGAGGGGGTAGTGTTGGGTATGGGTTTCTTTTGGGGTGATGAAAATATCTTAAAATTTACTGTGGTGATAATTACACAAGTCAGTGAATATTCCAAATACTATTGAGTTGTACACTTTAAATGGGTGAGTTGAGTGGCTAGTGAACTATATCTCAATTAGGTAGACTAAAGAAGACTAAGAGATATTCATTCACAGTTCATATATAGGCCCCAAAAGTCCTAAAATTTATATACCAAAATGTTAAGTGATTGATGACTTCTAGATTCATATGCCTTTTCATTTTGCTTGCCTGAATTTTCTAATCTTTCTATAATAAATTTAATTATATTTTAAGTATAATGAAATTCAATTAAGTGGGGAAAAAAGCAGCTTTGTACTGTATATTGTGACATAATTTCCAGGGGACATTGGTGGAAAAACTGGTAATCTTTAAATAGAATGTATTATATCAGTGTTAATTTCCTTGTTTTGATAATTGTACTGTAGTTATGTAAGATGCTGGCACTAGAGAAAGCTGGATCAAGGGTATACCAACAGTACTTTTTTTGCAACTTACTGCAAGTCTAAAATTAATTCAAAATAAGACAAAAGAAAAGTGTCTACTAGTTCTCTCATGCCTCAGTTTCTTATCATCTGATTTCTGCCTACATTATCTTACCAGGAAGTGCTCCCTCAAAGCTTATCCGAAATCTGCTTTTTTAAACTTTCTTGACCCCTGAATCTGACACTATTGTCTTCTCCCCTTGATATCTGTTACATTGTGTAATAAAAGAAAACTCTCTTCTTTTTCTCTTTCATTGACTTAACTTCATCTCTTATTCCCCGCGGCCCCCCCCCCCACCATTCCTTACTGTGTTCTTAGTCATTTTTACTGTCTTGGCAATTTGCCTGTTATCACTATGTAAATGCCTCTTTAAAAAATTGTTTCACATAATGAAGCTTTACTGTAAAAATATTATAATAAAGTAAAAATCAAAATCAACAAGCAACTGTAAACCAGAGATACACTATGGGGTGGGGTGGAGGGATTAGGGTCAAAATAAGGGGGGTGGGGATTGTATGGGGACTATAACCAAGATGAAAATGCATACATTGTGCAAAATGAAAAATGATGTAAAAAATATATAAAATAAAATAAAAAATAGAATAAACTATAAAATATAGGCAAACAAAGAGAAGAAAATAAACTTAGAGATCATCAATTCTTGAATGTCTTGGTATGTAACTTTTAAACTCTGTTGTTTGTTTATAAATATACTGAGACTGGTCACCTACATCCTTACCCCTAGTTGTCTTTAAGTTGTCAAACTGTTTACATTAAAAGTTTTAATTAGGTCTTTAAAAATTATCAAAGTAGAGTAGTGAAAAGCATGAAGATAATAAAGTGTACATAGTAAAATCAAATTGCCACAGCCTCCCAGGTGCTTATTATCCCTCAATTGGATTATTTCAGCAGTAATCTGATGAATCTCCCTGGCTTTGGTTCATTTTTCACATCACATTTTTATTACAATAAACTTCTAAATCCATGAATATATTATCTAGTATCCTTTTTCTGAGCTCTTCACTGACTCCCTAATCAGTGAGAATAAAGTGTAAATATTAATAACGACTGCCTAGAATATGGTATTCAGAGTGGGCCATTAAGGTGTGCTAGATGGGCCATTAAGGTGTAAAAAGAAAATATTATATTTAATTTTTTAATTTATCTTTTAACTTTTTAAAAATTATTTGCATGTTTATAAAAGATATACATGTGTATTATATTAATGTAGTAGAATAGTACTATATTTATATAACATATCACTAAATGGATAAATTGATAGATACTGATGGAAATAGAAGATGTGTGCAAGTCTTTAGCGGGGGGAAAAAACAAAGTAAAAGTATACAATTACTGCAATCATCTAAAATGATTTTTATTTAACCAGAGAGTGGTGGACTCATAAGTCTGTAATTGTAAGCTCAGAAAGCTTACAATTACTGCAATCATCTAAAATGATTTTTATTTAACCAGAGAGTGGTGGACTCATAAGACTTGGTATACTAAGTCTATGGAAGAGGGTTGCTTATATATTTAAAGTAAAATGGTTCATTCTCAGTGATGGGAAAATGAGAAATTATTATTTTTCTCTTCATGTTTTTCTGTATTTCCCTCCACCATTTCCAAAAGAGAGAAATGTTATTTTGACTACCTTTTATAACAATTTCTTCAAGATATTTTACCTGACACTTCAGTCAGAGATAATCTCTCTTTTCTAGATTTCGATAGCATTTATTTATAATTCCCTGGCAGTTTTTCTTACTCTCCGTTAGATATGCTATGATGCACACATATTATGCTAGACTCTGTGGTAGATGCTGAGGACACACAAACATGGGCTGTTTTGAGGAGCAGTATATTGTCTTTAGGGCAATAAAAGATGCAACCAGTTGTGCCAGGATAATTGTGCAAAGTGTAGTAGTCTAAGCACAGAGTCAAATTTCCCACAGAAGTGAGAGAAAGCTGCCTATTCTACACTATATGTGAATTATCTTTTCTGAACTTTAACCTTATTAAGACTATGAAATGAAAGTATGACTATGAACATTTTTTTTGCTTTGAAGAGGGTTGGATTTTATATTACTTGTAATTGTGAATAGTAAATAAAAGTTCCTCCATTTTTTTTTACAAAGCATGTTTATTAAGTTTGATTTTAAAAAGTAGATACCGGATGGCCTCACTCATAGCAGGAATTTAGAAAACCTAAATAAGGGACCAGAAAAAAGACTAATTAATACAAAGTGAAAATCAAAATCAACAAGCAACTATAAACCAGAGACACACTACGGGGTTGGGGGGAGGATCGGGGAGAGGAAGGACTAGGGTCAAAATAAGGGGGGTGGTGCAATTGTATGGGGAATATAACCAAAATGAAAATGCATACATTGTGCAAAAATGAAAAATGATGTAAGAATTATATAAAATAAAATATTAAAAAAATTCAAAATGGCATAGAAAGTTACACATTGAAAAGTCTCACTGCTTCCTATGGCCCCAACTACCCCATTCTCACCCCTATATACACCCTATTTGGTAACTACTTTTATTATTTTCCCTTATCCTTCCCATGTTTTTTGATGCAAATACAAATAAATGCAAGAATTTTTTTTTTTTTTCAGGAAAATTCCCAGATGTTTCAAGGCAGACCTTGTAAGAATATGTACCCTAATGAATATTTTCCTCATGGAATAACAAATGGAGCTAGCTGGTATAATGTCCCAGGTAAACCTTATTTTGTATCAAGGCCATATAACTTGGTGGATTTTTTGTCCCCTCTGAATTGCTATTGCTATTGATTTTTCTAATTTTCAGAAAAAATCATTCTTTTAAAATATTGTTTAAGTAGTTAAGAGCACATAAACCTTTCAACTATTTTACACTTTGTCACACTTTGAGTTTTGAGTAAAATGAACTAAAACTGATGAAAGTGTTGTATTTTACTTCTGGTTATTATAAAACATCTCAGATGTACTAGTAAGAAGAGTGTAAGCTACATGTGGATTCTTCGTCAATATTAATGTATGGATGTTTTACCCGAACCACAAGCAGCAAAGAACTCTCAAAAGAAGGCATGAATATTTCTCAGCTGATGTTGATAAAAGATGACTTTTGCTTTTTACTAGGAAAGTTGTTTACCTTTTGGGATCTGAACTAGTTGGAACATCTTCAGAAAGACTGATATAAATTTTTTCATCCTTTAGGTGGTATGCAGGACTGGAACTATTTACAAACAAATTGCTTTGAAGTAACTATTGAATTAGGTTGTATGAAATACCCATTTGAAAATGAGCTGCCAAAATTTTGGGAACAGAATCGAAGATCACTCATCCAGTTTATGAAGCAGGTGACTATTCAGGAGTTAAACTGAAATTTCTCCTAAGAGCAAGAAGATTTCTGTGTATAGATAGGATTTTCAGAGAATGATTTTAGAATATACTCTTTTGAATTCCAATTTAGCCTACTAATATTTTAGTAATTTATAAAGAAATTGATGGATTTTAGAAGTTTATTTGTATTAATGGGAAGAGTTGAAATGATTAAACAATGTAGTGCTGTTTTACTCTTAAAAAGTGGTCAATTTTTTACCCTTATATTTTATAAAGACTAACGTAAAGGTAAGTTAATCTTTATGAAAGGCTAACATAAATTGGATGCATGCCTAAGCATTTTTCAAATGATAGAAAGATGGGCTATGGGGGTAAATATTTTTTATTTTTCTTTTTGCCAGTGATTAGCTGTGAAATGATTAATTACCTTTTGTTTGGATATTCATGGTGGCCAATAGGTAAAGAATATAAGAAATATGCTAATATGGTTATTAGGGTAGTCTGACTAATACTTTGTGTCAGTAATTATCCTTCTTCTTCATTCCTTTTGCTGAGTGGAGTGGCATTTACATACTAATTTTTAAAAAAATTTCATTCTGAGTAATTTTAAATATACAGAAAAATAAGACTAATACAGTAAATACTTCCCCTAGATTTAACAATTTTTAACATTTTGCTGTATTTGCTTTATTTATATTTAAATTGCATATATATACACATTTTTGTTGAACTAATCTAATATTAATTGCAAGTATTATGCTATTTTATGCCTGAGTATTTGAGAATACATTTTGTGGAAATAAGGATGTTTCCCTACATGCCATCTCTAATGCCATAATCTCACCTAAGAAAATTAGCAATAATTCTAAAATATTGCCTGCTACATAGTCTATATTCAATTTCCTCATCTTGTCCCCAAAATGTCTTTATAGCTATAGTTAAGAACCAGGATCTAGTCAAGTTTTATGCATTGCATTTAATCATTCTATCTCTTTAATATAGAATAGTCCTCATTTTTCAAAAACATTTTCATTTTAAAGAGACTAGGACAGTTTTCTTGTAAGATTGCAACAGGGTGGTCCCCAGGAAAGGGGGAGGTTCCAGGTTCCCTGCCCCACCCAAGGAAGGGTGGAGCTGAGCAGGAAGAGGAGAAGCTGGAGAAGAGACTGAGGAAGGGAGGAAGCAGGATGGAGCCAGGAGACCTGGAGGAGGCACATGGAGCCTAGAGACACGTGGAGAAACTGCGCTTGTCTTTGGGTTGTGGACTGGGTGACACAGACGTGGGTGAGACCCTGTGGGGAGGTGACAATGGCAGTTTTTATCTTGATGTTGATTTTGCTCTTTTCCTTCCGGGCTTGTCCGGTTGTTTGTGACCCTTTTCTGTGGGTCCCCACTGGAAGATGCTTTAGACTTGTGGCAGGCTTTGGGGCCTTGCTCTGCGCCATTCCCATATGGATGGACTTTTACCCACGAGGGGACGGGTAACTTTGGGTGCTTCATTTAGAAACTAGATTATTTGCCTTACCTGTATTGTTTCCTAGTTTTATTAAAGTTCCTTCCCATTAAAGTCTCCTATGTTTTGTGTTGATGCGGCGGATGGCAGAACCCATTTAGAATAGGCAGGTTTGCGGGGTTTGGGCTGCCCCTCTCTCTGTCCTATAACCTCCCCCTTTCCTGGGGACCACCCTGTTGCAAAATGTTCTATATTCTGAAGTTGTCACATGTGCTACTCTTTAAACAGTGTTATTTATATTCCTCATGGTAAAGACAAAACTGTCCTATGAGAAAATAGCCTTTCAGAAGCTAAAATATTTTGTGTAATGGACATTTACGTTGAGCTTTATACTGAACTCCTAAATTTCTGTTTCACATGTTTACCATTATTAACAATGTTATTTTGGATATGAGCTCCCAAAATAATTTCATGATGATTAACTAAAATCTGGTATCCCTGTATTTATCCAGGTTCATCAAGGTGTCAAAGGATTTGTACTAGATGCTACAGATGGCAGGGGTATATTAAATGCCACTATTAGTGTTGCTGAAATTAATCACCCAGTGACTACTTACAAAATGGGAGATTACTGGCGTCTCTTGGTTCCTGGAATTTATAAAATCACAGCCTCTGCTCGAGGGTGAGTGACTACGGCTCTGAAATTGTGTGCTAGAGATAAGACAAATGTGATTTCATTCTGTATTGCTAGAAAGCCCTAGAAAGCCTTCCAAGCAACCTTGAGCTTAACGCTAATAAGTTCAGAACTGGTTACACATTTGACTTACCTTTAGTAGAAAAATGAAAAAAAAAAAAAAAAAAAGACTTATCAGATGGGTGAAATTATGCACCTTGGACAATGGCCTCTTTTGTCCTTCTCTCAGATCACCTGCCTTCTATCTAAATACAAAGGGAGCCATCATCTGTCATGAGTGGTTTCCTCCTTGATAGTAACAATTGTACCTGTTAGTTGGAAAACAACTTTGTTGCATGCTTCTAGTCATGTTGCCCAACAAAAACTACCACTTCACATGTGTACCCTTTGAAAATTCTTCACATTCATTGTATGTTTCCCTGATTGTTTCAGTGAGAGTCTTTCTCAAAGAAAGGCCTTTTTCATCTTTTTTATGGCTTTTTTCCCACAAAGATAACTATATTTATTTTCTAAAAAGAAAAGTATATTTATTTTCCATAAAGATAAGTACTTCTTTCCACAAAGATTAAGTATATTTACTTAAATGGTAAAAAAGAACTTAGGACCTGTTTTTCCATGGAAAAAAAAATTTTTTTATCTTCCTCCTCCTTTGCAGACAGCTTAGAATTGGAACCAACTGCCTACTTAATCTGAAACTCATTGTTTTTACTTTTTGTAGTTTTCTTTTTTGTGTTTTGATAAGTGTAGATGTTATCATAGGCTATTTTCTCTTCCTCCCATTAGCTACCTTATTTCTGACGAATTAGTTTGACCATCCATTAAAGTAAGGATAAGCATGTGAACAAACTTATATACCTTTCTTAAAAAAATATTTTCAAATATTTTGTGGCCCATAAATCGACAGGTTAGAACTTTACATCAATGAGTAATAAGCTGTTCACTGTCTTCAGTTTTGGTGTAGTATTAGAAAAACTGAAGCAACAAGGTAGCTGAAAAAAAGGGCCAGAACACTGTTTTTGATAGAGAATGTTCTAAAAAATACCTCCAAACTTTTCCACCTATGTACCCTGATGGCAGACAAGTGAACTCAGACATAGAAATATACACTGTATGTACAAACTTTGTTTGAAAGTCATATATTTAATCTTAACTTACTCATATTTTACAGTCTTCTCATGTCTGTTCTTTGTTGATGTTTAAGACAAATATTAAATTATCATGAAGTTAAAAATTTGACAGTTAAGAAGAGGCACCACATTAATCTCAAGGATTCACATCCTCTACACTTATGTTTCCACAGGGCTTAGGTACTCTAGCTGAAGACGTGGCTCTAAACTGTCTCCTTTCTTACAGATATAATCCAGTTACCAAGAATGTGACCGTAAAGAGTGAAGGTGCTATTCAGGTCAACTTCACACTTGTGAGATCTTCAACAGATTCAAACAGTGACTCAAAGAAAGGAAAGGGGGAGAGCACCCACACAGAGGACACCAGTGACCCAGTTAGTAAAGAGTTCGAAATGTTAATTAAAGACCTTTCAGCTGAGAATGGTTTGGAAGGCCTCATGTTACATTCCTCCTCAAATCTGGCTCTTTATCGATACCATTCATACAAAGACTTATCAGAGTTTCTGAGAGGACTTGTGATGAACTATCCACATATTACAAATCTTACCAAGTAAGCATTACCTTTTTATTGCCTTTTTTTAAGGTTACAATTAGCACTAGCTATGTTGAATAGTTTTTGTAGTAATTTATTAATAGAAATATTTGGGAGCTCAACGTACAGAAAGTTGGAGCTTACTTATTTTGAAACAGGTATTTTCTTGGAGATTTTCTAGTAATGAAACCTGTAAACTTGTATGAGGTACTATGGAGTAGAATTACTTATTACATTAGCAATGTATGGCCTGTGCCTCCAGGAAATGTAAAATTACTCTTCCCAATGATTACTTTGATTTCAAAACCCTTTCCACTTCTCAGCTGCAAATTCATGTTCTGACTAAATATTACTTTGTCACATCTTGCTGGGGGCAAAGAAGGAATTTGGAACTATAAGCTAACCTGTCAGGGATAATGTGTAATATTTTTTTCAAATTAGAAAATGAAATGCTGTCATTTCCTCTATTACTCTCTATTTAATCTCTGTTGCATAAAGCCTTAAGATATAAATGATTGAGGATCTGGGGAAAATACTCAATACTGAATTATATAAAACTGATAGCTGAGACAGCCTTTACCTTCATCTCTGAGGCCTTTTGCCTCACTTTCGTTGTTTCATCTTAAGTCCTCTTTAGGACTTAAAAAATTATTTTAAATTATTTCCTTATTACAGTACTCCAAAATTATTTCTTTGATATTTTGATTCCTATTGTTTGCCTATTGTAAGGCCTTTACTTTACATTTTCCCCTGAGCTTATAGTTCTCCACTACATAACTAATGAATATTATCTAACCTTTTACAAGCAAGTATTTTATTTTACAAGCAAGTTTAACTTCTTGAATACAGGTTTATGATTTTCAAAAATAGATACAAAAAATGCTAATTACTTTGGCAATACCAATTGCTTGTCTTCCTCAACTTATTCCTGAATATTTCTTCTCAGTTCAGATTTTAATATTATCCATTTTAGTGTTACATGGAGCTTATAGATTTTCATATTTTAAAATAAAAATTTGGATATTATTTTGCTGTCAATTTACTGAGTTCATTTAAATTTCTTTTACCTTCAAATTCAAGATACACTTTTCAGGTATTTTTCCCAAAATATGCAACATCTGTCAGTGGTAGAACATGAGGCAGTTTGAGGTGGTCCTCCAATAGGCACTAAGTATCCTGAAGAGCATCATGAGAAAGCATTTTTTTTTCTGTTCTGTTACTCCTTCTCAGTTTAACAATATTTTGTTTCTATCTGACTCTTATAAGTGTTCCTATATAGCGAATAAAGCAGGCCATAAGCTCAGAATTTTATATCAAATAAAACTCAGACCTTGGACAAGCAGATCAATTAAAATTATTTTACTGTGATACTGGTATTGCACTTATATTTATATTACATACAATATATTTATAAAGTATCTAATTTACATATGTTAATTTAGATCTTAACAAGTGAGGTTCTCTACACTTACATGAATTTAAGACATTAAATAGTATGGATTATAAAAGATAGGGTAAATATTTTTTTTTTTTATTGCATTGGTATTGGTGTACAACACTGTGTAAGATTCAGAGGTAGAGATTCACACCTCTCAGGGGAGATATTGTGAGGATGGAATGAGAATGACTGGATTTAGAGGAATGCTGAAGAACTAAGCCATAATTTCTTCTAACTCTGAGAATACCTCACTTCTATTTGACTTCTTTGGTCAAGGAAAACTAATTTTCTTAATGTTATCTGATACAATGGTTCATTCTTTAAAGACTTTAAACTCTAAGTTGTCATTGACATAATAATGCTTGAGTATTTGTAACTTTTTGTTCTGGTTCTTAAAAGTTTGGGACAGAGTGTTGAATATCGTCACATTTGGTCCCTTGAAATCTCCAATAAACCCAACATGTCTGAGCCTGAAGAACCAAAGATTCGTTTTGTCGCTGGTATCCATGGAAATGCTCCAGTTGGAACTGAACTGCTTTTGGCTCTGGCAGAATTTCTCTGTCTGAACTACAAAAAGATCCCAGCTGTTACACAAGTAAGAGAATGACCGGTTTAGACATATTTTACAAGGAAAAAGCTCAGTGATACATTGATATCAAGGCATCATTTAAAAATGTTTTAATTTCCTGTTAGATTTTACTCTTAAAAACAGATCATCTTTATTATATATTCAATAGTGTCTTTCCTCTTTTTTTTTTTTTTTTTGTAAAACTAAGAGGCATAGAGTAACAAGTACTAGAGATTACATTCAATCTTCTATTCCTTTTTTTTTTAATAGATCACACCTCCATCTTTACTCACATTTTTGTGTATTTTAACTTGAGGAATCTCCATTCCCAGTTCCTGTAAAGAACTATATTGAAAAATAAGATAGAAAATAAATTTATCTTTTCCTATAATAAATACAAAATTATGGGACATCTTGGCTGCTAAGAGATTTCAGAAAAAATAATATGGCATTGTCTATGTTAGCCATCCATGAGTATAGAAAAGAACTTTGATCCAGAGATTTGGTCATGTGTGTTAAACAACCCAATTATGTGTTTTCTTAAGAGAAAAGAGAGAATGTGCATGCTTCAAAAACACTAATTGGCATCATCTATAAAGAATTTAGGATAGGGGAAAGAAACTAATATTTAATACTTAACTGTGTAGGTACTATACTAAGTACGTTTATAATTTAACCCTCAACCTGTAATTATGTTATTTTGTAGATGTGAAAGCTAAAACAGAGATAGTTGATAACTTACAGGAGGTCACACAGCTAGTAAGTGGTAAACTTGGGGTTTAAACCCAAGTGTGTCTCACTCAAAACCTTATGCTCTTTTGCTATATCATACTGCCTCCCCCAAAAGAAATAGAGAAAGAACTGATATCATGATTAGGATCAGAAGGGACCAGTGGGATTAGAGGAGAGGAAATTAAATTGGACTTGATCAAAAATTATTTTACCATCTTCAGCAAAACAAGTATTTACTTTTTCCTATAACTTCCAAGGAGTATCTGAAAGGTATTTTTCTGTTTGTGTTATTTTTACTTTTAATACAGGAGAGTACCTAGAGCCATGACTTTCAACCCTGGCTACACACAAGAAGTATTTGGAGAGTTTTTAAAAATACCAATACCTGGGACCTAGCCCAGGAGGCATTAGTAGCCGCTTAGTAACTCCTTAGATTATCCTAGTATTTGACCAGAGTTGGCACCTACTGATTTTATGGTTGTTATAGACCATATAGCCTCAGTAAAATATCTCCTTGGAATTTAAAAATTTCTTGTTTATGAGAATTTACCTCACTGTTCTAATTGGACTTGAATTTTAGATTGTTATTTGCTCTGAGCTAAGAGTGAGAATAATCTGGAAAGTTGGAGAAAATATATACATATCCAGAGACCTGTCGTGAAGCCTATGCACATAAATTTTAGAACATGATCTCCCTCCAGGGGAGAGATTTAAAAACCAGTAAATCAGGGCCTCCCCTGCTGGTGCAGGCACTTGAGTGCAGCGTGGTGAAGCTGTCCACAGCCTCTGCAGCACTGGTTCCATTCCAGCCGGCCGGTAAGGGTCCCATGTGAGGGTCCCACATGGCACGGCAGACCTTTCCTGTCGCGCCCGCTCCTCCCCTCAGCAGTTTTTCATCAGTCTGCCTGTTCTGTTCCCCGCTCTGTCTCTGGTGAATCCTCTCACCCTCTCGCGCATCTGGCCTGTACCCTGGTTCTTGTACAAACAAAAATAAATAAATAAATAATTTTTTCCCCCAGCATTTTCAATAAACTTTCATTTTTATTTTTTTTTCATTTTTTTTATTTTAATAATAAATTTTATTTTTATATTCCCCATACAGTTGCAACCCCCCCTTTCTGATCCCAATCCCTCCCCTCCCGCCACCCACCCCCCCAAAAGTGTCTCTGGTTCATAGTTTTTTGTTGATTCTGATTTTCACTTTCTTATAGTTATTCATTTTCCTGGTCCCTTATTTAAGTTTTCTAGATTCCTGCTATGAGTGAGACCATCCGGTATTTTTCTTTTTCTTTTTGGCTTATTTCGCTGAGCATGATCCCTTCCAGCGCCATCCATGTTGCTGCAAATTGCATGTGCTTATCTTTTTTGATTGCTGAGTAATAATAAATAAATAAATCTTAAAAAAAAAAAACAAAACAATGAGTCAAAAGGTCTCTAATATTTTCAAGCTATAGACTGTCTTACTAGAATAAATAAACTAGGAACCATTTATTCTGATTTACTATTAGAAATATACAGGATGGGGCCTCCCCGGTGGCGCAGCGGTTGAGTGCTGGGTTGCGAAGCTGCCCGCAGCCTCTGCAGCACTGGTTTGATCCCCGGCTGCTGCCTGGCCACCGGAGGAGGGTCCCACATGGCGTGCAGACCTCTCCTGCCACCTGCTGTTCCCCTCAGCAGTGTACTTCGGTCCTTCTGCCTGCTCTGCTCCCTGCTCTGGCTCTGGTGAATTCTCTCACCCTCCCGCGCTTCTGACTGTACCCAGTGCTTGTATGCATGTATGTATAAATCAATCAATCAATCAATCTTTAAAAAAAAAAGAAAAGAAATATACAGGATGAAGTATATCAGAAATTATTTCATGCCACAAATGTAGGTATTAATGTCTTTGGATAAGTTGGAGAGATATTATTATGGCTAAGACAAATATCCCACTTCTTTTTTAGACATGCAGATTTCAGTTCTGTCACATACACCGATAATTGTCAGATTATACATTCCAGTTTTGGTCTGGAAAATATCTCACTATTAATCTAAGTCAGTGGTCAGCAAATTTTTCTGTAATGGGCCAAATAGTATATGTTTTAAGGTTTGTGGTATAGATACTCTGTATTACAACTACACAACTTTTTCATCCCAGCACAAAAATAGTCATATGAATGGATGTTAGTAGGTGCCAATAAAATTTATTTATAAGCAGCAGGCTAAACTTAGCCTGCAGACTGTGGTTTCTGACCCCTGCTGGACAGTCATCAGGGGATATCTGGGGACATTATCGGTGCAGTAGTTTTTTGTTTCTTTTTTAATATTTGAAGCAAGAGATAATTTTGTTTTTATTTCTTAGTTTTATCTATTATGTCTGTGTTTAAAATAAGCAATAAAGACTTCCTATTTATGGCATGCACAAGGGTACCATTTGATTCCACATAGAGCTAATAAACTAATTGATTTCTGTTTCTGTTTTAGTTGGTTGACAGGACTAGAATTGTGATTGTCCCTTCTCTAAATCCAGATGGGCGGGAGAGAGCACAAGAGAAAGACTGTAGTTCAAAGACAGGACAGACAAATGCTCATGGCAAAGACCTGGATACAGACTTTACAAGTAAGACTCATTTTTATGACATTATAGTACTTTATAGAAATTTTAGTTCTCTTGTTGGGAAATTGGTTGATCCTGTTTTGTAGATGAGTAGTGAAGTGATTTCTTGTCTAGGTTATGGATATAAGTGAACATTAGAAATACAGAATTTTTTTTTTACTTTCCTCCTTTTTCATTTACAAAAGCATTAAAAACTCTTAGAAATTCAACCAGTAATATTGAGATGGTGCCAACACTAATCATACTGAATTGTATATTCTTTCTCCTTTCTCCCATATGTATGTGTGTAAGTTGATTTGAAGGGGTATATTTCTTATTTACTTAAATAGAATCATTAACTATATGTACTGTTCTGTACCTTTTTTTTTTAAATATTTATTTATGCATACAAGAACTGGGGTACAGGCCAGAGGCATGGGGGGTGAGAGGATTCACCTGAGACAAAGTGGGGAGCAGAACAGGCAGATCGACCAAAATACACTGCTGAGGGGAGCAGCAGGTGAGTCAGGAGAGGTCTGCTGCGCCATGTGGGTATCTCCCTGCCCAGGGATCGAACTCGTGCTGCAGTGGCGGTGGATAGCTTCGTAGGTTGCATCTTAGCCCATTGCGCCACCAGGGACGCCACTGTACCTTTTTTTAATTGAATATATCATTAAAATCTTCCCATTTCAGTGCTTATAAATCTCTAACAATCTTAATGGCTGTACTCTAGTTTATTCATCTGTTTCCCTACTCATGGATATCTAGTTTGTTTCTGATTTTTTGTTCTTACAAAAAATGCGAAAAAGAAAACTGCTTTCAAAGATAGATTATTTATCACCTAAATTATTTTTACTTATTTTTAAATGAATTTTTTAAACTTTTGTACAGTTTTTAAACTTTTGCCACACTGCTTTTATTCTCATAGGGTATCTCTTCTATGTGAGACCTTTCATGTATTTGTAAACTTCCATACCATGTGAAAGTTTTGCCACGTTCCTGATATTCATAGGGTTTCTCTCCAGTATGAATTCTTTCATGTTTTTTTCCCCCACTACCATCCTTTGGTAGTGGGACAAAGGACCATCCTTTGTCCTTTCCCCTGTCCCTTCCTTTTAACCTCAGAACCCTCGGGATGTTTGTTGATGTCCATTAGTTTTTTTAAAGAGTTTTATGTTGTTGAATTGTGTGTTTTGCAAATGTCCAATTTTTGTTGCAAATGGCTGCATTTCATGCTTTCTTGTGACTATATAATACTCCATCATAGGTATATACCGCTCCTTCTGTTGAAGGAGATTTACACTGCTTCCATGTCCCAGCTATTATAAATAATATTGCTCTAATTATTGTAGAACACGGGTTTTTTTGTTGATGGTTCATATTCTACTATATATGTTAAAGAGTGAAACTGCTAGGTCGTATGGTATTTCCATTTTTAATTTTTTAAGGTAAATCCAGACTGCTTTCCATAATTTTATCAGTTTACATTCCCATCAGCAGTGTAAAACAGTCCCTTTTTCTCCACATCCTCTCCACCATTTGGGGCCTTTTTAATATGTACCATTCTCACAAGTGTGAGTGGTATTTCATTGTAATTTTAATCAGCATCTGTCTTATTGAAAATGATGCTGACCATTTTTTCATGCCTTTTGACCTTCTATATATTCTCTTTGGTGAACTGTCTGTTCATATTTGCTGCCCATTTGTTAATTGGGGTATTTTATTGTTGTTGCTTTAATTGTTCAAGTGTATGAGATTTTTATATATCTTGGATATTAATCCCTTAGCAGCTATATATTGTGTAAATATTTTCTCCCATTTAGTAGGATGTCTATTTAATCATCTTACATTTTCTTTTATTGTGTATGAGATTTCTAACTAGAGGTAATCACAACTGTTTGTTTTTAATTCCCTTGCCATAGGGGTTGAATCACTAAAAATATCTTTATGTTGGTACTGTGTAACTTATCACCAATGTTTTCTTCTATACATTTTATTGTTGCAGTCTTACATCTAAATCTTTAATCTATTTGGGATTTATTTTTGTGTGTAGTATTAGTGAGTAATCCAACTTCATTCCTTTATATGTGGCCTACAATATTATAAAAGGAGGATATGTCCATCCCTTTTGTTTCGAGTAGATTTTCTTAAACATGCTCAGAGTCATTATCTTTATACATTATCCTGAAATGTGTAAAACTCAAAATATCTTTTGTCTGAGATAGTGACTTAATGGAGTAATAAAGTATCTATAGATTTAATAAAGCCGACTTTTGATTATGTTCGAGTATGTTTTCTTAGCTCATACTTAACCCATCCTAAAAGTTTTTAACTTGTTATTTGTATTTGACTTTTCTATATTTCAGATAATGCCTCCCAGCCTGAGACTAAAGCCATCATTGAGAATTTGATTCAAAAGCAGGACTTCAGTCTCTCTGTAGCTTTAGATGGTGGTTCAGTGCTTGTCACATACCCATATGATAAACCAGTACAAACAGGTATGTAAAATGTCATTTTCCATATATATTATTTTAAACTTAGATAGGAAATTCCAATTAGGTACTGTCCCTTCTAATTTTTTTTAAAGTAATGAACATTTGAGCATTATCTATGAGCAATAACCAATCTAAGAAGATTATACATAAATCACCATTCAAAGTTACCTGGAGGAAGAAGGTCAGATGTAATGATGACTTTGCTTTATTGAGTATAGCCATCTTGTCACTTCTGTTCAATTTAGTATACAAATACTTATTGAACAATTATCATGTTTGTAACATAAAAAAGATAAGACTCAATATCTGCCTTAAGAAATTCATATTCATATCTACTGACTGATACCACCTCTGGTGAATTAAACAGTTACTTGTTGAACCTCTGGTGCCATCGTATACATAGCTCATTTGTATTTTTTTTTTTTAAGATTTATTTATTTATTTATACAAGCACTGGGTACAGTCAGAAGCGCGGGAGGGTGAGAGGATTCACCAGAGCCAGAGCGGGGAGCAGAGCAGGCAGAAGGACTGAAGTACACTGCTGAGGGGAGCAGCGAGGGGCAGGAGAGATCTGCGCGCCATGTGGGACCCTCCTCCGGTGGCCTGGGAACAGCCGGGGATCGAACCGGCACTGCAGAGGCTGCGGGCAGCTTCCTAACCTAGCGCTCAACAGCTGCGCCAGTGGGGAGGCCCTCATTTGTATTATTTTCAAAGACACTTATAATGAATATTGTTGTTACTCCATTTGCCCCCAAAAGTAGTGAAACATATAAAACAAGTTTGTATTTTATTATGGTAGCCTGTTGCATAAACTGATCATAAGCATTAGCGGATTGCAAGATATACCAGAAGGAGACAAAGATTACTTTTGTGACCATGAATTTTAACTTGGAGAAAACATTTTGAATTTCTCCTCTGACTCTTGAATTTTTTCTTTTTTTTTTTTTGTAGTGGAAAACAAAGAAACATTGAAGCATCTAGCATCTCTTTATGCAAATAATCACCCATCAATGCATATGGGTCAGCCCAGTTGCCCAAATAAATCAGGTAGGTATTTTTCCTACCCTTTGTTAATGTTGCTTTTGGTGGGGAGAGAGTCTTGCTTTATGGTCTTGTTGATCTTACATCTCTCAATGTTTTTATAGATGAGAATATTCCAGGAGGAGTAATGCGTGGCGCAGAATGGCACAGTCACCTGGGCAGCATGAAGGTATACTGTATGGAATGCAGTAAGAATGGGCCATTAGTGAAAGAATAGGTGGATTTTCTAACATAGAAAAGTGATTGGCACCTGTCTCATGGCTTTCTTCACATAATAGTCCTTAAATTAACCTTTGACAGCATTTTACTTTTTTTTGCCATTTTAATCATTTTTACAGTTGAAAAATTTGAGTGTAAATATCTACTTTTAATTCTTTTTCTTTAAAGATTCATTATTTGTTTATGCATACAAGAACTGGGGTGTAGGACATAGTAGGTGCGGGGGAATGAGAGGATTCACCAGAGACAGAGTAGGGAGCAGAACAGGCTGCTTTACTGAAATACACTGCTAAAGGGAGCAGTGGATGAGACAGGAGAGGTCTCCTGTGCCATGTGGGTCACCTCCCTGGCCAGGGATCAAACTCAGGCCATAGTGGGTACTGATAGCTTGATAATGCTGAGACTTTAGTCCTTGCGCCACCAGGGAGGCCCGTTAATTCTTTTGAATATATACCTAGAAGTGAATTGCTGGTCATGTTGTGAATCTATGTTTAACTTTTTGAGGAACTTTTTTCCAGCTTAACTGGCAGTGCACAAGGGTTTTCGATTTCTCCACATCCTCAGCAACATTTCATATTTTCCACTTTTTTATCATAGCCACTCTAGTAGGTGCGGCATGGTGGTTCACTGTAGTTTTGACTTGCATTTCCTAATTGACAATGATGTTGAGCATCTTTTCATGTGCTTATTGTGTATTTGTTCATTTTCTTTGGAGAACTCTCTGTTCAAGTCCATTACCCACTGGGTTGTCTTCTTGTTGTTGAATAAGACTTTTTTATATATTTTGTATATTTTTTTAAGATTTATTTATTTATGCATACAAGATCTGGGGTGTAAGCCAGAGGTGCGGCGGGTAAGAGGATTCACCAGAGTGGGGAGCAGAACAGGCAGATCTACTGAAATACACTGCTGAGGGTAGTAGCAGGCAAGGCAGGAGGGGTCTGCTGCACCATGTGGGTTGCTCCCTGCCAGGCGGGGGATCAGACTCATGCTGCAGTGGCTGGCGATAGCTTGATAGCACTGTCTTTAACCCCTGCACCAGCAGGATGGGCCCTATATGTTTCAGATGCTAAATCTTTATCAGATATTTGATTTGCCAAATTTTGTCCCATTCTGTAGATTGTCTTTTCATTTTTTGATAATGACCTTTGATACACAATTTTTAATTTTGATGAAGTGAAATTTATCTGTTTTTGTCTTTTGTTGTCATATCTAAATTCATTGCCAAGCCCAAGACCTTGAAGATTTAACCCCAATGTTTTCGTCTAAGAATTCTATGGACTTAGGTACCATATTTAGGTCATTGATACATTTTGAGTTTATTTTTATATATAATATGTGTAGGAGCTCAACTTTGTTTGCATGTGAAAATCCAATTGTCATAGCACCATTTGTTGTAAAGACTGTTCTTTCCCCAACAGAATGATCTTGGCACCCTTCTCAAAGTTTACCATAGATGTATGGGTTTATTTCTGGACTCTCAATCTATTCCATTGGTTTATATGTGCATGTCTACTCATATGCCAATACCACTCTTTCAACTACTGTAATTATAGTAAAATCTGAAATCAGGAATTGTGAACCCTCCAACAATGTTACTTTTTAAGATTGTTTTGACTATTCAAAGCTTCTTCCAATTCCAATTGAATTTGAATGTTGGCAAGTCTTTTTCTGCAAAAAGACTTGGAATTTTGGTAGGGGTTGTGTCGAATCTATAGAACTTCAGGTTGTATTAACAACTCAACAGCATTGTCTTCCTATCCGTTAACACAATATGTCTTTCATTTACTTAGGTATTCTTTAATTTCTTTCTAATAGCATTTTAATTGGTTTTCCATCCACTTCAAGTTAGTCAGGAGTTGTTAGCAAGTGGATGGTAAGCTAATCATTTTGTTCAAGTGTGCAACCAGAAAATTGACTTTTCTCTTGTTTACTAAGGGCTTCTATGTGAGGCCAATTTGTGATTTTAGTGATAAATAAAGTATGCTCCCTATCCCATTGAACAAATAACAGGGTTAGAGAATCAATTCATTTATCTAGAAAAGAGCAACTCTCGATGTATCATGAGAAGTTAAAGGCAGAAAAGGTTAAAACCTAGTCAGAGAGATACAGGCCCTGGAATTTGGGATTTAGAGACAGTAAAGCAAGACATTTCAGAAAGAGTATGGGTAGAAGTCAATACAAACAGTCTAGAGTATGAATGCTTTGTTTTAGTAAGAAATAGAAAGCCACTGAAGGTTTTGAGCAAGTACAGTAACATGATCTGAGCTGTGCAATGGAAAAACTAATCTCTTAACAGTGAGTTAAGATCGTTTGGAGAAAGGAGACACTATGGTGCAGAGAGACTGATTTAGAATAGCCTAGACAATAAATAATGAGTGCCTAGATTAGAGTAGTGGTAATGGAAGTAGAGTCAGGGAATGAGGTTTCAGAGATACTATAAAGATGGAACTAACAGAATTTGACTAGTTATGGATGATAGCAAGCTATTGAAGTCAAAGATGAGATTTTATGTCTTTTTGAGAAAAATTAGTTAATTCCAATAACTGAATTAGGAAAAAGACAAGGTTTAGTGGGGGAAAGTAGTTATATTTTGAACCTGCCCACACAAGCAGTTCCTGGGTAATTGCTATAGTGCAAGCAGTTGCTTTTGTCACCAACAGACTTGACACTTAAGCCTGTAAGTTAAGAGTACCAAAGGGCTTGTCCTTGTGCTTCTGCCTCCAGAATTCTGAGAATATCTGTGAAGTTCCTGGGTTTAGAGGGAAACTGGCCATCTGCATGTACTTATTCAATAAACCCCCTCTACCTACCAGACACTGTGGAAAACAATGGAGATATAAAAATGAACTAGAGAGGCCCTGTTTTCAAGGCCTCTCTTAGGAGTGGTCATGTTTTTAACTGATTACATATGAGTAGTTTGTTTATATTTGCTGTGAAATATTTTATGGATTCTTTGTACACATCACCCAGGTTTTCTTTTTATTCCATTTATTCCATCTGTTGTACTTCAAAGTCTTATTCTTTTTTTTTTAAAAGATTTATTTATTTATACAAGAGCCGGGGTACAGGCCAGATTCGTGGGAGGGTGAGAGGATTCACCAGAGACAGAGTGGGGAGCAGAACAGGCAGACTGACAAAATACACTGCTGAGGGGAGCAGCGGGCACAACAGGAGAGGTCTGCGCCACCAGGGGAGGCCCAAAGTCTTATTCTTATTTTTACTAATTTTCCTACATTGCTTTTGAATTTGATGTATTCCAGGATTATAGCGTTACCTATGGCCACTGTCCAGAAATCACAGTGTACACAAGCTGCTGCTACTTTCCTAGTGCGGCACAACTCCCTTCCTTGTGGGCAGAGAATAAAAAATCTCTTCTTAGCATGTTGGTGGAGGTGAGTCTTTCTCTTTCAACTAGAAGCAAACTCCCAAAATATGTTCAATTAAAAACCTTTAAGTTTTTCTTAATCTTTTAACAAAATTTTATATTATTTTATATGTATATAGAAGGGAGAGTTTATTCATTATGTTGCCCAAATTGATGCTATAAGTTCACATATCTGGAATCTATTGTGTTTAGTTAATTTAACCCTGTGAAATATAGGTTCTTTCATTTGAGTATCAACAGTTACTGGACACAATGTATTATGGTAGAAAAATCATTCAAGACATCAAAAGATTTGGATTCTAACACTTCAACCTTTGGCTATATTAGAGTTTTCTTTTATCTATATCTCTGTGCCTCTGAAGCAGTGAATGATAGTAACTAAGGAATCTTATAAGAATTTCTGTTGTTGTTGTGTTTGTTGTTTTTGTCAGACCTCAAAGTATTGTTTTTAAACTGTCTGGTAATAACAACAAATTTCTATTTTAAACATTTTTTTCAGGTTCACAAGGGAGTTCATGGATTTGTCAAAGATAAGACTGGAAAACCAATCTCTAAAGCAGTCATTGTACTCAATGAAGGCATAAAAGTACACACAAAAGAAGGAGGTTATTTCCATGTGCTCTTAGCCCCAGGTGTCCATAACATCAATGCCATTGCTGATGGATATCAGCAGCAACATTCACAGGTGAGAAATGCAAACTGAGAGATATCATGTAAGTTCTTCTTATTAATAGTATTTCCATTTTATTTTGAAACTCTTGCCAGAAAACCTGTAGGGAATTAAAAAATAAATAAGTGATCATCTCTTGGTTACAATAACTTGTTATTTCTCTGTCCTTAGGCAACAAAAGAGAATTTTTTTCTTTTATTAATTTTTTCATTTTCTTACATTGTTCATTTTTGTACAGTATTTGATTTCTCCCCTCAGGTGCAGTTCCTGTAAATCTCCCACCATCACATCACCTGTGAATATCACCATGGTCCCTTGTGCTCATCCCACCCCTGTTTTGATCCCCTGCTGTAAGCCTCAGCTTTTTAGTTGCTATAGGTTTATAGCAACTACAAGTTTTATCTTAACAAAAGGGAAATTTTTATAGCTCTTTGTGTACTTGACAGTGAATCATCTTTAAAGGTTCTAGTAATATAGCAGGGATACAATGTGCTGTAAATAATAAACTCTTTCATAATTCTTGCACCTTATCCTTCTAGGTCTTTGTGCATCATGATGCTGCTAGTTCTGTGGTAATAGTTTTCGACACAGATAATCGAATATTTGGTTTACCAAGAGAACTTGTGGTAACTGTATCAGGTAAAGAAATTTAAATTTTTGGGCCTCCCTGGTGGTGCAAGGGGTTAAGACGCAACCTGTGAAGCTGTCTGCAGCCTTTCCAACACGAGTTCGATTCCCCGGCCAGCCAGGGAGCAGTTGCCCACCGTGGCGCTGCAGACCTCTCCTGTTGTGCCTGCTGCTCCCCTCAACAGCGTACTTTGGTCAGTCTGCCTGTTCTGTTCCTCACTCTGTCTCTGGTGAATCCTCTCACCCCCCACACCTCTGCCTAAACCCCAGCTCTTGTATGCATAAATATATCAGTCTTTTTTAAAAAAAAAAGAAAGAAAGAAAGAAATTTAAATTTTTAGTGAATGAACTTAAAACCCGCCCTCCTAACATTACAGTTTGAGAAAGGATCACCTCCATAATCACCTAAACCTAATCACTTTTTTTTTCTCTGCTTATTTAAGCATGATTTTCCTGGAACACTGTTTTCCCATATGTCTCATGGCTCTTTCATGATTGTAATCAAATGTCACCAATACAGAGAGGCCTTCCCTGAACACCCTAACTAAAATTTTACCCCTGTCACTATCTCCATCCCCCTTTTTTCTATACCATTTATCACTACATGACATATTATATATTTAGTCATTTGTCTATTTCCAGTCTCTGCCACTGAAACGTAAGCTCTGAGAGAGTAGTGAGTTTTTCTGCATCTCCATATAGTGGGACTCAATGAAGAGTTGTTGACTAAATTATTTGCTTTTTAGTAAGCTCATAAGTCTGTTGGGCTTTGACTTACATTAGTTCTTGTTTTCCAAGATCCTAGAAGGAGGGAATATTTGTTTTCTCCAGAATTACTTGAATTACTGAAAGGCTAAAAGGAAAAACATTGCGGTAAAATTTATAAATACTGCTCTATTGCATATTGTTGACACAAAGAACCCTGCTTCATTTCTAAGTACAACTTGGACTTGATGCAAAATAACCAAGTTTTATTACTGTGTGTGAGGGGAGGTCCTTAGATAACAGAAAGTGGCATATGGGAAACCTGGTCAAATCATAGAACCTGTTGTGGAGTTTTGTTTTGTTTTTTTTTAAAGACTTGTTTTTATTTATACAAGAGCTGGAGTACAGGCCAGAGTTGCGGGAGGGTGAGAGAATTCACCAGAGACAGAGCAGGGAGCAGAACAGGCAGACAGGGACTGAAGGCACTGCTGAGGGGAGCAGTGGGCGAGACAGGAGAGGTCTGCCTCGCCATGTGGAATTCTCCCTGGCCCGCTGGGAGTCGAACCGTCACTGCAGAGGCTGCGGACAGCATCACAGCGCGGTGCTCAACCCGTTGTGCCACAGGGGAGGCGCTGTTGTGGAGTGTTTAAAGAATTTTTAAATCAAATAAACTGAATCATTTACTGGTTTAGAAACACAGAAGCTAGGATTCAGTCATGGAAATCTGGCTCTGCTGCCCATCTGCTATTGTGAACTCAATTTCTTTTTTTTTTTTTTTAATTTTTTATTTTTTACATCGCTGTTCATTTTTATTTTTTTGAAGATTTATTTATTTATACAAGCACTGGGTACAGTCAGAAGTGCAGGAGGGTGAGAGAATTCACCAGAGCCAGAGTGGGGAGCAGAGCAGGCAGAAGGACCGAAGTACACTGCTGAGGGGAGCAGCTGGTGACAGGGGTGGTCTGCACGCCATGTGGGACCCTCCTCTGGTGGCCGGGGAACAGCCGGGGATCGAACCTGCACAGCAGAGGCTGCAGGCAGCTTCGCAACCCAGCGCACAACTGCTGCGCCACCAGGGAGGCCCCAACACTGTTCATTTTTAAACAATATTTGCTTCCCCTCACCCCCTCAGGTGTAGTCCCTGCAGAATTTCCTTGCTTTTGTGAACTCAGTTTCTAATGTGAGTTTATTAGTATTATTTTCTGCTACTAAGACACCTATTCTGATAACCTTAAGTACAAATATTTTAAATAAATGAGGAGTTTTCAATGAGATGAAAATTTACCAGAAAGGAAAAGTAAATGTCATTGATAAAAAGCAGGTGGCAGAAAAATAGGCAGAGTTTGATTTCATGTGGCAAAAGAAAAAAAAATTTCACACACACATGCATGAAGAAAGATCTGAAAGAATATACACCAGGGTTTTTAAAAATGATCTGTGGGTAACAAAAATGTGAAGATGTGGGGGTTTGGATTTTAGGTATTTTTGCTTATCTGTATTTTTTTCTAATTTTGCATGCCATATATACATATACTGCTTCTCTAACAATAAAAGGGTTTTTTTGAAGTGCACTAGCTAAAATTAAAACAAGGCCTCCTGGCCTCCCCGGTGGCGCAGCGGTTGAGCGCTGGGTTGCGAGGCTGCCCACAGCCTCTGCAGCGCCGGTTCGATCCCCAGCTGCTCCCCGGCCTCCGGAGGAGGGTCCCACATGGCGCGCAGACCTCTCCTGCCACCCGCTGCTCCCCTCAGCAGTGTGCTTCGTGAGTCTGCCTGCTCTGCTCCCCGCTCTGGCTCTGGTGAATTCTCTCACCCTCCCACGCTTCTGACTGTACCCAATGCTTGTATAAATAAATAAAAATAAATCTTAAAAAAAAATTAGACTGACTTAATTAAAACAAACAAACAAACAAGGCCTCCCTGGTGGCGCAGGGAGTTAACTCTCAGCACTATGGAGCTATCCACAGCCACTGCAGCAGAGTTCGATCCCTGCCCAGCCAGAAAGTTAGCCCACATGGCGCAGCAGACCTCTCCTATCTCGCCCGCTGCTCCCTTCAGCAGTGTATTCCAGTCAGTCTGCCTGTGCTGCTCCCCACTCTGTCTCTGATGAATCCTCTCTCCTGCGCTCCACCCCCCCCACCTCTGGCTTACACCCCAGCTCTTGTACGCATAAATTAAAAAAAAATCTTTAAAAAATACTAAAATAAGTGAAGGGCACATTATAGAATGTGCCATTAAGCAGTTGTTTATGTATAACTTTAAAGTAGACCACAACTCATGGGATGGCTTTATTTGGCAGGTGCTACCATGTCAGCATTAATCCTAACAGCTTGCATAATTTGGTGCATCTGCTCAATCAAGTCTAACAGACACAAGGATGGCTTTCATCGACTCAGGCAGCATCATGATGAGTATGAAGATGAAATCCGCATGATGTCAACTGGCTCCAAGAAGTCCCTCTTAAGCCATGAGTTCCAGGATGAAACGGATACTGAAGAAGAAACGTTATATTCTAGCAAACATTGAAACAAACCTTGCATCTCTCCCAGCATAAGTACCAAGCAAAATTACAGTTCCTTTTGGGAGACACTGCATTAAGAAGAGACTATTTTGCTTCTTCAAAGAGCTTTGGGAAGTTAACTTGCTAAATTTGTATTCTTTGTGAATTTGGTGGCAGTTTTGAACTTCCCCTCCTTAAAGTACTCTTACCTTTTAAAAAAAAAAATCTGCTTTCTATTTATGCAGCAGAGATGGGACAGCCACTTTATATTTCTTTTTAATTTAAGATGAGCTGTTTGAAGCTTATGTTAGTAACTACATAAAGCCAACTAGTGGATGTTGTATTTTGCACATCAGCTGTTTACTAGTGGCTTTAGCTTTTTTTCTTTGTTTTAAATGGCCAAAAGAATCCAGAAACATTAAGGCAGGGACAGCAGTCAGAATCTGACATAAAGCTTTAAAAAACTCAAGGTTTCCTCAACCTACTGAGGAATACTTTTCGCTAGATATTAAAAGCTGGAATTTCTCTTGTAATTCCAGTTTAATGGAGACTGGATTGCTTTCTAAACATATAACATTAGGAAATGAATAAATGGGCTTCCACATTTGGCTTTCTACCTGTTCCAAGGCTAGATCAGAACTAATGGGCTGTGCTCTAAGCAGGATTTCACTACCTCTCTTACAAGGTTTAGAAAAGTTCTAAATATCCCCATTTTAAGGGAGAATTTATTGACTTTGTTGTAAAAGATCTACATGTCCATTCAAATGGAGCTGAGAGGGAGATCTCGCAAAAGCTAAGATTCATGTTGCCTATCTTTTAACTTGGTGAAAACCCACAGGTGCTGCTGCTTTTATCTGTGAAGCACTAGTTTATTCTGGGAATGCCTAATTCTTTATTATTTCCTACATTTGAACCCTTTTACATGTTGTACACTTATGGTTTTCAGATGACTCAGCAATCTACAAGATCTGAATTCTACTGAAATATCTGGAAGTGTGGAAGAGACATAATTGTATATTCTTAACCTGTATTTGAACACACAATATCTACACTTCATGCTCCAGCCCAAGCCGACACCCTGCAATAGCATACTGTTAATGAAATAGTTTGGCCAGTGTTGCAGGCCTCTGCAAGTGATTGGGGTCTTTGTCCTAATATTTCATTTGACAGTCTCTTTTTGATAATTTTGTTAAAAGTGCAGTTGAAAGTATTTAAATATGGCTCCCTCCACTAAGAATAGTGCTCTAGACTGTCGCTGGATATAACAATGGCGAGAAAGTTGTCATCTTCACTGCCAGTCAGGTTACTACAAAGACCTGAAAGATTTGCATTTTATTATGTCTGTCGTATAAAGCTACTCAATGGAAATGATGCTTTTTTTTAAGTATAAGTGTTACCAATGATCTAATGGTTTAATACCTTTGAATGTTTTAATGGCCAAGTTGCTGCTGAACTTAGACTAAATCAGGGGATCAAAAAACTTGCTCTCATGTTTTGTATCCGTTAATGTATCAGTCATCCCAAAGCCTTCATGGGAAGTGGTTTACCACCCATGTAGGTCATTTAACCAAATTTTGTGAGGAATGCACCCAAAATGGCTTTAACAAAAGAGATTTGGCTTAGCAGGAATAATGAGGTCATGACATTTGCTAGTTGAATATCTGTGATAAATTTGGATGGTTCAAGGTTAAGCTATTCTGGTATTAATAGTTATCAACAACTTTAAATTTTGAGCCCTTGCCACCCTACTTTCACCCCACCACATACACAGAATAGTTTGTGGGGTACTAATACTTAATAAAATAGACATGATTTAATTTCTAATAATATATTTTCTTTAGGGAGATGATGAGGTGGTATTGTTCTTTTCAGCTTTATTTTTAAGAGTGCAAAACCAGAAAGCCAACAAGGGGCCTTTGTATGGCTGACCCTGCTTGGGACATTGCAGGTAGAAATGAAACAAAGTTGATGTGACAGCCTTTACTTTTATTGGTCTTCACTAGAAGTTGCCTTTTCAATTCATTTCTCTGTTAGATTAACATGTCTTTATGCATCATAGTCGCTGGAGGCCATGCCTTTTAAGCATGTATCATACAAATATTTTATAGAAATAAACATATAAGTAGTTCTCTTAGTAATTTTTCCTGCAAGGAAAACCAAATTCTATAAATCTTGAATCTTTAATGAATTTCTAAATAGTGCATTGTGCTGGTAAACAAGGCCTTCTCAGCCTGTGTTACCTGTTAACATGAATGTACAGGATCATGACTACTGTGTTCTCAGCCCTGCTTTGTCTTTAATTTGTGGATCTAATCTAACATTAGACCACATTAACTGCTTAAGGCATTGAAGCCATATGGATGGGAAATGCATTACTTCAGTGTTTTTCCTAAAGACTTTCCATTTCCTTAGCGTCATGGAGGCAAGTAAGTATCACAGTATTAAGAAATTTGCCCAAATCTGAGTTGTGCCTTTCTTTACTCACAAGGCATGTTTTTTTGTTCTCATGATCAGTTTGTAAGCCTCTTCCCTCCCAGCTCCTTAATAAAAACAAGTGATTGAATAATAGGTGATTTTCAAGTGTTTGCCGTGTAAATTGTACTTGATTGATTATGCAGTTCAGGAAGATGAACTCAAGTTAATTTCAGAAGGAAAGATCCTTTGGTTGTCATACTGAACACTTGGGTAGTGACTGGGATCCCATCCAATTGAGGAATTCTTACAGTTCTCATTGGAGGGAATTTGCTTTGGGACTTCATCATCCTCTAAGAAGGAACCATGATGTATATTTGACCCAGTGTGACTGATTGGTTAATCTTTGGTGATTTTCACTTGAATGGGATTTGCTGAATGAATGTTGAGCTTAAAATTATGAGTTGATAATAAATAAAAGGTAGTTCTTATGCATGAATTTATTGTGTTTCTGAGCTAATACTCAGTAACCATGACCTGCTTCTCCATTTCCACTTATTCTCAGAGGTAAACAGTCTTCTTGTCACCAGTAATGCACTTGTGCCAGGTTTTGTCCCTGCTGTATTAAAAGCTTCTTGGCTGTGAATTCTGTAATAGTGCCCTATGTTACAATTCTCTGGTGGAATTGTTTTTAACATTAGCAACTTTATTGTTATTACAAAAGATTCCACAAGGATAGATGGTCAATGATTTTCATCTAGCAACTGTTTGGTAACTTTTTGGGTGTCTGATTTGTTTTAATTAAAGATTTTACTTTTATGATTAGGACCCTTGATTATTATCAGATTGAACTTGGATTTCTAGTTCATGAAGATACATCGCCCAACACCGATTTCTCATATTTTTAGCAATAATTAATACTCCACTTGACTTTCAGATTATAGTCCTAGTTGATTTTGATTTGACAGAATATATTATGAAATCTGACAGTAGCCTGCCACTTGAGACAACTGGATATAAATTATGTAAATATGTATGATTCTGAATTTTATAAATGGTATAACATAAGTGTACTAGCTACATTCTATGCTGGCCATGATGCAGATTTCCTGGAGGTATGACAAAGGTATTTTTTTAATGCTCAGATCAAAAACTCATCTTCTCACCTCTCCATTTCTTCAGTATGATTTTCCCCAGCTTCAGAACAATCTATAGCTATTTATATGAGGTGCCCAACACTAATTCATCTCAAGTGCTTCAGTCTTTGGTTTATTTCATGCACTGTGCCTTCAAAATGAAATTTTTAAAAGGAACTTTAAATGAAATTGAATAGTAGTTTCAAAAAGTCAATTTGTGTAATTTATGTGAAATCTAACTGTAATGAGGTCCTTTCTGTTTTTTATATGTAAACAGATTTACTAATCCTGTATAAAAGTTATTTTATGATGTTTGTCTTTGTGTTTTGTCTCATAACCTTTTTTCAAAATCAATAGACCAGAGAAATTTTTTGTTCCAATTTTAAGGTTATGTATTTTGTTTTCTACTTCTAGTAGAGGAAAACCAGCATTAGACTAGGAAGACAGGATATCATTTGTAGAGTGTTTTTGTCTTCATGAATTGACTCAAAAGAAAGCTGTTTTCTGAAATAATCACATCACATAGTAGACAGTTCTCTTTTCTGTTTGTAGCTCACCTGGATTGCTGTATGCCCAGTCATTGCACAGTGAATACCACATAGCTGGTCATTGAAATGTTTATAAACCCGTTTCAAACTTGTTAAAAATGTTGTGCTTTTTCCAAAAGAACCCAGTTAGGAGTGTTCTAGCACTTTTAGGCATAGTGGTGATGAATTCAATATCTTCTTTTCACTTAACAATAACTTGTTGATAGTGTTTTTCTAATATGGACTGGGAAAGCAGAATTATGTTAGAAATATGGGCTCTGCTGGCATGAACTCATAATCCAGACCAGAGAAATATAAATAGGAATCAGCTGTAATTCTGTAGTGACTGAATCCTCTACCAAAAGAGAAATATTGGCATAGAGTCCAGCATGGACTTTGGAGTTGGACTGTGTCTGGTTCTTGACTGCCACTTGTTTCCTATGTAACCTTGTACAAGTTTCTTAACATTCCCTGAGTCTCAGTTTCTCTATCAGTTAAGGCGTAGTACATGATAGGATTGTGATGTGAATTAAATGACATAATGTTAGCAAAAGGCCCAATATAATAACTGACTCAGAACTGAATGCCTGTGCTAACCAGCATCATTTGCCTTCATTTTCTGTTTCTGATCCATTTGAAAATTACTGTATCAAAAATATAAACAGACTTGTTACAGGTGGTCCTTTTTAATTTAGAAGAAATTCCTAGACATGAATACTAATAACTATAAAAGTTTCCATCATGTGGTTCCATAGATTGTGTATAGCATGGCAGTAAAGTTTTAAAAATTTTGCCAATGCACCCCACTCCTTGCCTTCTAGAATGCATAGAAAAAAAAACTGCAAATAGCTGCAGTGAAACTCGGTCTTCCCAGTAGGTTTTTTGGTGCCTGCATTGGGGAGTCAATCAAAGCACATGCTTGTAACTGTAGCCTTTTCAGCAGGGGACAAGTAGACCACAGACTTTGGAAAAACAACACAAATGCAACTCTCCCACCACCACCCCTGCCCCATGAAACCTGTGCCTCAAGTGCATAGAAAGTGCTAATAACTACAATGAATTCAGTCTGCCCAGTGGTTTTTTTGTGCCCTCCTTGGGGAATCAATGGAAGCACAGGCCTGAAACTGGCGGGGTTTCTGGGACCCATTTTGATGGACAGTGGGAGATTGTAGGTCTTTTGGGTGTACTGCTCATAGCACCATCTGCAGGGGGCAACTGGCTTGGGAAAGCCAGGGACGTCACCCAACCTTGCCACCTGGGAGACCTCTGGGCCTAGAGTATGTAATTAGAAACTACAAACAAACTACAGTGAACACAGCATGCAAACAAGGTCATCCCGGTTCCTGGTGGCCCGTGTGGAATGTCAGTAGAGGTACCTGCCTCTTGGGCTTCCCCTGAAGCTCTTGCTACTGCTGAAGAGTGCAGAATTCCTGGAGAGAACATCTAAAGAGTAAAATGGGCAGACAAAAAAAAACCCCCAAAAACAACACATGGCAACTTGAGACCTCAGGGAGTAAGTCACCACAGGTAGGTCTTTTGTTTATCGTGACACCTGAGCAGAACCAACCATGAGGGAGAGGCAGCTAGTTAGGCTAACAAAGAAGAGATGAAATATTAATAAACAGAATCAGAAATGAAAGAGGAGAAATTACCACAGAAATGCAAAGGATCATAAGAGATTATTATGCATAACCATGCCAATAAATGTGACAACCTTAAGGTAATGGAAAAATTTCTAAATCGGCATAATCTAGCAATAACCCAGAAAGAAGTAGATGAGTTGAACAAATTAATCTCAAGCATGGAAATTGAAAGAGCAATAAAAAAATATTTCCGAGGCCTCCTCTGGTGGCACAGCGGTTGAGCACTGGGCTGCCAAGCTGCCCGTAGCCTCTGCAGCGCTGGTTCAATCCCTAGCCGCCAGCGAGGGTCCCACATGGCATGCAGACCTCTCCTGCCGCCCACTGCTCCTCGTAGCAGCGTGTTTCGTTGGTCTGCCTGCTCTCTTCCCCACTCTGTCTCTGGTGAATCCTCTCATCCTCCCACGCTTCTGACTGTACCCAGTGCTTGTACAATAAATAGATAGATAGATAGATAGATAGATAGATAGATAGATAGATAGATAGATAGATAGATAGATAGATAAATCTTTAAAAAAAATACATATATTGGGCCTCCCCGGTGGCGCAGCGGTTGAGCGCTGGGTTGCGAAGCTGCCTGCGGCCTCTGCGGCGCCGGTTCGATCCCCGGCTGCTCCCCGGCCACCAGAGGAGGATCCCACATGGTGCGCAGACCTCTCCTGCCACCCGCTGCTCCCCTCAGCAGTGTACTTCAGTCCTTCTGCCTGCTCTGCTCCCCACTCTGGCTCTGGTGAATTCTCTCACCCTCCCGCGCTTCTGTCTGTACCCAGTGCATGTATAAACAAAACAAACAAACAAATAAAATAAATAAATAAAAACATGCCTCTATATAAAAAAAAAAAAAAAATACATATATTTCCGAAAACCAAAAGGTCAGGACTCAACAGTTTTATAAATGAACTTTATCAAA